GTGCTGCATCAACAGAAAAAAATTGAGGAATTTAAAACGTGTCTGTATATTCTTTAGGCTATTAAGCCCACTGATTCCTTTACTTTTAAACCTATTTTTGTGTGGAATGCCATTTCCAAACCTGTCCGTTGTTGCCGATAGGTTGCTTAAAAATAAATATTTTCTGTTCTGACTGGTAATGTTGCCGTTGCTCATATTTCTTTATGACATAAGTTAGGAAGTTAAGCAATTTCTTGCTGTTTTGGGCAGTGACTGTGGCTTGTGCTATGACAAACCATTTTAAGCTTGAAGGATAATTATCAGCACCTCCAATCCAAGCCAAGAGGCTCTCTCAAAAAAGTGTGGGTTACCGTCTTCTGGTCGTGAACATGTGTATGCACCTTGGGAACACAAGTGACCAATGAGGAATGCGAGATGGGCAGGTGAGCACTGAATGGGCTGGTGTTGGTTATGTGGCTAGGTGTTCTAAGCCTCTGTGCCTGTGATTGGGAGGCTGCTGGTTCAAGCATCAGCAGAAGTCACACGTCTCTGGGCCCTTGACCAAGGCCCTTAATCCCCAGTTTAGGAGTGCCGCATGTTGGTCGACCCTGCGCTGTGACCCCCAAGCTATGGAGAGCAAGATGTGGCAGGCGAAGAGAAGAATTCCAATGTAATTGTAAAAAAGGCAAATAAAAGATGTATCATTGTTAAGTTGAGGTCAGTCTACATCCCTGTTCTCACCTTTGGGCATGAGCTGTGGGTGATGATGAAAGAATAAGGTTGCAGGTACATGTGCTGGAATGCTGATTCGCGGCATGGTTGCCCAGAGCACTCTCTGTGACAAGCTTATGACTTCAGGCAATTGCAGGGATCTCGAAAAAGAGCCGCTGTTCCTTCTATTCAAGTAGAGACAACTGACGTGGTTCTGGCATCTTTTAACAAGGCTCTATCACACCTAGGACATGCTGGAAGGACAATATCTCCCAGCTGTCTTGGTAATGCCTGCCACTCACCCAGAATGATCTGCAATCTACGACCTTGGAAAGTGATGTCAGGTCTGACCTGCTCGGCACTTTGCCACTACACCCCCTCATCGGGAGAAGCAGTGTGTAAAAAATGACAACTAAGATGATATACATACAAGATTTATGTTTATATCTACCAAATGATCCATAACAGTTTTTTTTTCAAAATTTCAGTCATAATCTAGTCATACTCCTTGAAATAAATTCAAAAGAAAGGTATTATAACAAATAAAACGTTCCTATTTCTTAACCATATGCATTATGGTTCCATAAGGACAACCGTAATCCCGGCACCAAGGTTACGTCAGGTGATTTTAGAAATAAGACCAAAACATATATAACAGTATATTTCTTTGAACGGAACAGTTCTTCGGTCGGAACTAAAGTTTTACCTGGGGAAGATTTACAGAGTAACACCCGCGTGTCATGTCAACATTACATGCGTGTGGCGGAACGTGACCGGCACCCCACTTTAAATTGTCTTTTTGTATACTTTTTTGTTTGGAAGCGTGTAGTTTTTCGTTAGCAAAGTAGCGTTTTAACATTCTTGATTTAAAATGTCTTCGGGAAGCACGAAAGGAAGTGCTATTTTTTCCGGCTTCAGGGCCTTGGGGCTTTACTCGAACCATCTGGCGCACGTTGTGCGGTACCACAAGAAGCACCAGCAATTCTACGTGGTAACGGCGGTGGGGAAGTGCTTCCACACCTACAATGTAAGTCCTTTTACGGGCAGCCTGCGAGGAAACGAGCCGGTCACAATGAGCTGCTCTTGGCGTAGCAGCCAGGGAAGCCATGAGGGACGCTAACGCTGGGAGTGAACCGTGGACGGCTGATAAGGGGATTACGAGGGCGTGCATGAAATGCAGCTCGGAAAAAAACTAAAAAGCGCACCCCTCCCCTCCCCCCCCTTTTTTTTTTTACTTTAACC